CATGACAACATTTTGTCCCAAAGCAATGTCTTCTGTGCCCCTCATTAAGAAGCTCACTGTCCCTCACCACAGGGGCAAGTGCTTCCAGGGTCTCTCAATTCCTAACGGGAGGCAACACACATTTTAACACAGTACCTCAGCAATGTAAGTGGTGATAATTTACCTACTTTGATAAAGTTCCTGAAAAGATCTCTAGACTACAAAATTTTCCTCCGAAAGAAGACAGATTCCCAATTGCAAAACATTGGCCTCCTTGCTTTTCAAAAAAGTATCCTTGAAAGAGTCAAAGCAATTTTGCCAAAATAAATTGCAGAAATTGAACTTTCTTTTTTGAAATCTCACAAAACATTACAACTATTAAAAACAGAAGCTGCTGGCATAAGAATACAAATAGAAACCAAAGGGATAGAATTGAGAGTCCAGAAATAAACCCTCAACCTTATAGTTCATTGCTCTTGCATAAGGGTGTTAAGATAATTTAATGGAGGAGCAATCCTCCTCTCAAATATTGGTGCAGAAAGAACTAGATAACCACATGTAAAACAATAAACTTAAAGAACTATACTTCCAACCATATCAAGCAATTATCTAAAAATGGATCAGTGAGTTAATTATAAGTTCTATAACCATAAAAACATCTTAGAAAAAGATATAGGGGTAAAACTTAATGACCTCAAATGTGCAATGGATTCTCAGGTATGACTCAAATGCATGAGAAACAAAAAGGAAAAATAGATCAATTGGGCTAAAGATGCAAGCCTTTTGTGCATCAAAGGTATTATCAAGAAAATAAAAAGAGCAAACACAGAATGGGACATAATAGTTGCAAATCACTTAGACAATGGTTTCATGCCCAGAATATATAAAGAACGGCTACAACTCAATAACACAAAGACAAACCACCCAATTTATATAAATGGGCAAAGGACTCAAATAGACATTTCTACAAAGAAGATATGCAAATCATCAAGAGGGACATGAAAAGAAACTCAACATGATTAGTCATTAGGAAAATACAAATTCAATGTCACAATGAGATCCCACACTACACCTACAAATATGGCTACCATTATTTTAAAATGTTAAATAACAAGTGAAAGCATTATGTAGAATTTGAAATCCTCATACATTGCTGGTGAGGTTATAAGAAGGTACAGCCACCAGGAGACACAGTTGTGCTGTTCCTCAAGAAGCTAATCATAGAATTCTCATGTGAAACAGCATCCATTCCTGGATATGTACCCAAAGACTCAAACAGGTACTTACATAGGAATGCTGATTGCAGCATTACTCACAAAAGATAAAATATGAAAACAATCCAAGTGTTCATCAACACATGAATAAACAGATGTGGTCACACATACAACTGAATGTTAATCTGCCACAAAGAGGAATGAAGCTCTGACATCCGCTGGAACATGCATGGACTTTGGAACTCTTATGCTAAGTGAAATATGTCAGAAACAAAATAACATATATGTATAATTCCATTTATATGAAACATCAAGAATAGGCAAATTCATAGAGACAGAGTAGAGATGATCAAGGTCTAGGGTGGAAAATACAGGGAGTTATTATTTTTTAAAAGATACAAAGTTTCAGTTTAAAATGATAAAAATTTTCTAGGAAAAATAGTGGTGATGGTAACTGAACACTCTGCATGTAGTTAATTCCACTTGAGTGCACATTTTAAAGTGATTAAAATAGCAAATTATTCACAGAACTGTGAAAAATCAATTTCTATTATTTAATTCACCCAGGCTAAGGTGTTTGTTATGGCAGCTGAAGCCCATGAATACATCATCTGACCCAGTGTTTTCAATGAATCGTATCAGTTTTTCAATCAAGTTAACTGGAAGCTGTGGGGAAAAGAAAGATCAGACTGTTACTGTGTCTATATAGAAAGAAGTAGACATAAGAGATTCCATTTTGTTCTGTATTTGAGATGCTGTTAATCTGTGACCCTATCCCCAACCTTGTCCTTGCAAGAGACATGTGCTGTGGTGACTCAAGGTTTAAGGGATTTGGGGCTGTGCAGGATGTGCTTTGTTAAACAAGTGACTGAAGGCAGTATGCCAGTTAAAAGTCATCACCATTCTCTTAATCTCAAGTACCCAGGGACACGTACACTGCTAAAGGTTGCAGGAACCTCTGCCTAGGAAAGCTTGGTATTGTCCAAGGTTTCTCCCCATGTGATAGTCTGAAATATGGCTTCGTGGGAAGAGAAAGACCTGATCGTTCCCCAGCCTGACACCCGTGAAGGGTCTGTGCTGAGGAAGACTAGTGTTAAGAGGGAAGAAGGCCTCTTGGAGGTTCTTGGCGGTTGAGATAGAGAAAAGCATCTGTCTCCTGCCCATCCCTGGGCAATGGAACATCTCGGTGTAAAACCCGATTGTATGTTCTGTTTACTGAGAAAGGAGAAAAGGGCCTTAGGGCGAAAGGTGGGACTTGCTAGCGCAATGCTGCTCTTTATGCACTAAAAAGGTTTATGGAGATGTTTACATATGCATATCAAGGCACAGAACTTTTCCTTAAACTTATGTCACAGAGATCTTTTTTTTTTTTCTAAAAAAAAGATTTCTCCTGTGAGACTGTATTTTGCATTGCACATATTTTGCATAGTGTACAAAGCACTTTGATGTGTGCCATCTTCTTTCCTCAGTCCTGAAATTATGAGGGTACAATGATTAAATAATGAATGTAACATTTGCAGCATACTTATTCACACGTCTTACTGCTGACCTTCTCCCTACAATAATCCTATTATCCTGCTACAGCCCTTTTTCTAAGATGGTAAAGATAACAATCAATAAATACTAAGGGAACTCAGAGACCAGTGCCACCGCGGGTCGTCTGTATGCTGAGTGCCGGTCCCCTGGGCCCACTTTTTCTTTCTCTATACTTCATCTCTGTGTCTCATTTCTTTTCTCAAGTCTCTCGTTCCACCTAACGAGAAATGCCCACAGGTGTGGAGGGGCAGGCCACCCCTTCAGAAGCTCCTGTGCCCAGCAGAACCAGAGGTCCCAAAACAAGAGCTCCAGCAGGGCCTCAACCAGCACAGGTCCCATAGGGCAGCCTCGATGTCAGGCTATGGATGGCATGTGAGGCTACAGTGATACAACCACAACATGAAACTGTAAGTCCCTGCTCCCCTTCCATTGACCCTCCCGCCCTGCTGCTCCCTCTTCTGCTCCCAAGCCCATGTGCAGTGCTCAGCCCCAGACATCACTGCCCCCAGGGTATACACAGTGTCGCCTAGAAACACAAACTCACAGAAGGTGACGAAAATCTGCCTTTGGGACATCCGATTGTGAAAGCGGGAGAACAGTGAACGCAGAGTCACAGAGACTGGGACTCACGGGGCTGGAATGTGATGGAGCTGTAACATAACATATGGGTGACCTCATGTGAAATGTGCAGATCCTTGTGGAATAAAACACGCAGCCTGGCCTGGGACTTCGGCCACCCACACTTCCCTTCCAGTCCACCAGAGGGCGGCAGAGTCCCTCCCAGCCTGGAGTCTTCCCAGGGGATGCCAACCTCCCTCAGCAGAACCCAAGGCGGCGAAGGGTCCACCCTCACCAGGGTCACCTAGGCCCAAGTCCTCAGGGCCCTCCATGCTCCCAACACGGACTCTGTCGGCTCCTCCCTGACCTGGTGGCCGCCAACCTAACACCACTCCCTCTGCAGGCCTGCTCCTTCCCTGGGATCAGCTAAAAAGATATCTCCCATTGCAGCGGTGGTGCGCAGGGCGCCACACTGGGCGCTTTCCCCTCGTGACCTCCCTCCATCCTCATCAACTCTTTCTGTCACTGCTCCCTAAATGCCCGCCCGTGCTCCATCTGTCCTGTTCTCTGGGGCATCCCAGGCCAAGCCTAGTGCTGATACAGAACAGCGGCTGCCTGGAGACCCACAGCCTCCCTGGGAATCAGTCAGGCACCCTATGACCTGTCTGCCCGCTGCCCCCCGGGGGGCTCAGAGCGCGTCTGATGGTCACACACAGGCACCATGCAGGATGTGGCCACCTATCCCCGCCTGTCCCTTGAGAAGACAGACCTCTCCTGTGTCCCTGCTGGGAGAAAGAGGTATTATTGCTCTTTGCTCCCAGAACACAACTCACACCCAGCCACCCTCTCAAGGGTGAGAAACGTCCCTCCAAACAGGATCTCTGGCGACTGCCTGTTCCTTCTCTACAGAGAGCAGCTTGGCTATGTCAAAACCCTCAGGACAGACTCCTGGGTATGTCAGCACATGGAGGGCTGAGCCCATCATGACCACGGAGTAAGTTGGGATGAATCTCTCCAGCTCTGAACCCCTGCTCTGTCCCAGGCTCCCCTTCCTGCGTCTCAACGAGCCATGTTCCACGGGGTTCCTGGGTAACTCCCCACTTCCTCCTGCACCACCATGGGGAAGGTGTGGTAATTACAGGACACTCAGATGGGAAGAGAAGAGAGGACACCAAAGATGGTCAGGAAGAAATGAGAAACCCTGAGCCCCAGCTCAGCCACCAGTCCCCAGGGAGCAATAGAGTGACTAAGAACTGTCCTTTGACCATGGAACTCACAGCCCCCACTGAGCAACCAGCACAGGCCTCTCCTCCCAAGAGACATGAGAGATTCACCTTGCACACCTCCAGGAAGGAAACTTTCCTCTGGGACACCCAGGTCCTGAATATCCATCCTTGGAAGCTGCAGCCAAGCTAGACACAATTAGAGAAAGGAAGGGTTCCTGTCACCAGGCGACACACAACTCACCCACAGCACAATGGGGTGTCCCTGTGACAGGGACCTGGTGCAGCTCCAGCCTCCTGCACTAAAGGGGAGAGCCAGATGGGGAGGAAAGAGGGCAAAGGGCGTCAATGTGCACCCCGACCCAGACCCATAGGGACAGCAGGAGGCTGAGGCCCAGGACTGTGCTTGCCCAACCTACAGGGTATGTGTGTGACTGTGTGTGTCTGTGGGTGTCTCTTTTGTGTGTGTGTTTGTGTTTCTGCACATAGTGTGTGTTAAGGTTTGGTGACAGAATCACTGCTGAAACAGACAGAAACCTCCACAATTTCCAGGGACCTGACACACAGACAAAAGGAAAAAGAGAAGGAGGGACAAGGAGGCAGGACTGAGAGGGGAAGGGACAGAGAGGTGTCCTGGGCACAGACCCCACCCATGAGCCTGAGAAGTGCTCCTGCCCCAGGAAGAGGCTCAGCACAGAAGGAGGAAGGACAGCACAGCTGACAGCCGTGCTCAGAAAGTTTCTGCATCTCAGGCTCATCTCCAGAGAGAACAAGCAGGCAGCACAGGCCATGGGGCCCCTCTCAGCCCCTCGCTGCACACTACACATCACCTGGAAGGAGCTCCTACTCACAGGTGAGGAGAGAACTTCCTGGGAGAGGACAGGAGGAGGAAGCAGAATGATTGGATGGGGTTTCCTAGAGAGGATGGGGTTCTAAGAAATAAAAGAAGCCAGCACTTTGGGAGGCTGAGGTGGGTGGATCATGAGCTCAGGAGTTCAAGACCAGTCTGGTCAACACAGTGAAGCCCTGTCTCTATGAAAAATACAAAAAATTAATCAGCTGTGGTGGTGTACTCCTGTGATCCTAGCTACTCGGAAGGCTGAGGTAGGAGATTTGCATGAACCTGGGAGGCAGAGGTTGCAGTGAGCCAAGATCTCGACACTTCACACCAGCCTGGGTGACAGTACAAGATTCCATCTCAAAAAAAAAAAAAAAAAAAAAAAAAAGAAGAAGAAAGAAAAAACAAAAAACAGAAAAGAAGGCTCTGTTGGAGCCTGGATAGGGGAAAATACACCAGAGAGGGACATGGGTCAAAACAGGAAAATCACATTGAACCGGAATTGGTAAGAGGTAGGAAAATCTCAAGTGTTCTGTTTTCCTGGTTAATCATCACTGGACACCACTTTTTGAAAAATGACAATAATAACTATTATCAGATGACACTTCGAATGAAAATGTAAGCGGGGCATGAAACACTGTCCTCAGCAAAAAACCTCAACAATTGGGGAAAGAATAAAAGAAACAACCCAGGCATGGAGGGCCCTGGGAACTCTCAAATCTACAGAAGTCTGCAGCCTGTCTCAGACACTGGGGTGCAACCAAGATCACAAAAGTCCCTGTCCTCATGGAGCTCACGCTGTCATGGGAAGAAAGACAGACATGCAAAGAGATCTAGAATGTGAGGTCAAGTGTTGACAAGAGCTCTGGAGGGAGCAGAGCAGGGAAAGGTCAGAAAGGGAAGACCCAGGGTCTCTGAAGGAGGTGTCAGGAAAGAAGTCTAAGGATGCCCTGATGTGAGCAGGACCTGAGGGTGGTGTGCAGGGAGCCGTGAAGATCCCTGGGGAGGAGGATTCCAAACAGAAAAATGCCAAGGTCAGAAGGGTTGAAGGAACGGGGGTCATGCTGCTGACCTTCACCCAGTAGGACAGTAGGACACACACACACACAAACACACACACACAAAAGGGGTGTATGTGTGTGTCCTACTGTCCTACTGGGGTGTGTGTGTGTTTGTGTGTGTGTGTGTGTATCTTTGAGGCTGATGATTGAAGAGATCTTCTCAGGACACAGGGCCCAATGTTTTCACTCCCATACATAAGTCTCAATATTGACTGATGCTCTCTCCACCTCCTAGCATCACTTTTAATCTTCTGGAACCCACCCACCACTGCTCAAGTCACGATTGAAGCCCAGCCAACCAAAGTTTCCGAGGGGAAAGATGTTCTTCTACTTGTCCACAATTTGCCCCAGAATCTTACTGGCTACATCTGGTACAAAGGGCAAAAAACGGACCTCCACCTTTACGTTACATCATATGTAAAAGACACTGAAACAATTATAGCTGGGCCTGCATACACTGGACGAGAAACAGTATATTCCAATGCATCACTGCTGATCCAGAATGTCACCCAGAAGGACACAGGATCCTACACCATACAAATCACAAAGCGAGGTGATAGGACTGAAGGAGAAACTGCACATTTCACCTTATATCGTGAGTGATTCCACATGATCCCTGGGTGTTGGGGGGCGGGGGTCACTTCTACTTTGCACAAACAGGATTGTCAGGCCTGAACTGTGCCTTTGTCCCTCTCTGTATTATGTCCCATGTTGGGGTTTTGGTATTTAGTGTAGGACACACACAGAGGAGACAAACTTCAACAGATCAGAATTCCTTTCCTGCCTCCAGACCCTGCAGACACTTGTTGCACAAGAAGGACAGTCTGATGGGGGGTGCTCAGCACGAGGAGACCAGTCTCAGCCAAACACCTCATGCCCTCTTCATAAACCTTACCCTGAGAAACACCCTGGAGAACTGAGTAGGGCTTTGCCTAAGGGGCAAAGATACTCTCAAAGAAGCACAGCTCTAGAAGCTTCAACCCCAGACCCCTGTCCCTTAATCCTTACTCCAGAAAAAGCTGAGGAGCCTGTGCCAGGGCTGGGTTGTGGCAGGGCTTACTGAGTTCTCTCATGGAAGTGAACAATAATAAATGCTGTTTGTGTGAACACCTCCACTGTGCCAAGCATTAGGTCCGGTGACTGTGAAGAATTTACAATTTATTCACAGATAGCATGAAAACCCACAGTCCATTTGCCATTTACCTTATTTGACTGAGAGAAAACTGAGGCACAGGAAGGCACAGTCACTGAACCAGAGTCACACAAACACAAAAGGCAGATCAGGGTCACATGAGGTCTGTCTGCAGCCACAGGCCCATCCTCTCCTCCACCAGAAGTGAGGGCTTATTGGGTTCCAAGGACCCCATAGTCAATTATTGTCTCAAATCCTCTCTTCTTAGGCATCCAAACCTCAGAGGAGTGAGAGCAAATGGTCAGCTGATTAGTCTGCACTCCAGAACTAAATCACCTGCCTCAACTGTCAGAGTCAGTGCAAAAAATGTCCAGGCCTCCCCCTCAGATCTTAACCCCTATCACTGAACCTGAAATCCTGTTTCCCAAAGTGTCCATGTCACTGGCATGACAGGATAAAGGAGAGAATCTTTTTTCCTTTCCCCACTCACACCCTGCACCAGCACAGGCCCAGTGAGAGACACACACTCAGGAGCTCTCACATAACAAATGAAGGAATTGAATGAAGAAATGAATGGTCCATAATTTCTTTACAGAGTGGACCTCAGATGCAGCATCCTAGGAGGTCTAGCCACACCTGTTTCTTGTCCTTCAGAGGCTGACACCCATGTTTCATCCCCCCACTACCTCTTGCTCATAAAGACACCCCCTCTCATGTAACTCTGAAGCTCTTTGGGCACGGGAGGGTTTTCAGGGCTCCCTGGTCCTGGACTGTGGAACTGGGGTCACCTGGTCCCTGGGGCCTCTGAAGTCACTGTAGCCCCCATTGTTCACTGCCATACTGTCTCTGCCTCTCTCTGCTTCTCTGTGTTCCTCATCTTCTTCCCACTTCATTCTAACTGGTAAGCCCTGTCCTGCACAGCTTCTTCCTCCACCCCTAGGCCTTCCCCAGACACTACCTCTAACTAGGCTGACTGTTCTATTATTACTCAAATCAGCCTCCCTAGTGGATCAGGGGTTAGAGATTTTCAAGGATAGTTTCAGGGGCACAGGACTAAAAAATGGGTACTGCTGATTGTTTGGGGGATGGAATCATGGGGGTGGAGGGAAATGATCTGTTTGTGCTTAAATTCACCTCTAGGTGGGGACCACGTGACTGGCTGAACCATTAGTCATGGGTATGAATGAGGTCAGCCGGTTGCCAGAATGCAAAGAATGAGAAACATCTCAAAAGACCAATCTCAGGTTCTACAATAGTGATGTTATCTATAGGAGCAATTAGTTACAAGTTTTGTAAACTCTGACCAAATGACATTTAAGAAGTAAGAGATTATAGAAACTATGCCTACATTTTAGCAGAATTCAGTTCCCTCCTATAATCTTAGTCTCATGGTCTTTCACCAGTTTTACAAAGGCAATCCCTGGGCAAAAGAAGGGTATTAGTGTTATGGAGGAACTATTATCATTCTTGCTTCAAAGTTAAACCATAAACTAAATTCCTCCCATGGTTAGCCTGGCCTATGGCCAGGAATGAGTGAGAACAGCCAGCCTGAGACTAGATGGCAGATGAAGTCAGCCATGCTAGTTTGCTGTCACTGTTGTAATCTTTGCACTGACTCACCAGGGTGTCAGAGGCTGGACAGGTCTGCAGTCTCCAAAGCCCATGGGCTGATTTCACCCATTTCACTCATGACTCCATCCTCAACCTACCATGGAGCTCACATTCTCCAGTCACTTCCTAGAGACTTGTGGTTTCCTGTCAGGCATATAACAAACTTGAAATTTGTCACTCGGTTCTAACACTAAGTAAAAAGCTGAACAAACTCAAAAGTCAACAACTCATTAAAATCCCTCAGAGATGGCCAGTCACAGTGGCTCATGCCTGTAATCCCAGCACTTTGGGAGGCTGAGGTGGGTGGATCACGAGGTCAGGAGATTGAGACCATCCTGGCTAACATGGTGAAACCCCATCTCTACTAAAAGTACAAACAAATTAGCCCGGCGTGGTGATGGGCACCTGTAGTCCCAGCTACTCAGGAGACTGAGGAAGGAGAATGGCGTGAACCCAGGAGGCAGAGCTTGCTTGAGCCACGATCGTGCCACTGCATTCCAGCCTGGGCAACAGAACGAGACTCCGTCTCAGATAAAATAAGAAAAAAAGGGGCTGTTAGATAAATATAGAATGCTTTAGATGATTACTGGTGGAATGCACACAGCTGAGGAAAGAATCTTTAGCTTGAGGATGTGTCAATAGAAACTTCCAAAAATGAAACAGGAAAGTTCAAAAAGAGTGGGGGAAAAAAAGTTGAACAACAATTCAACTTCATATTTAACATTTTTTATTGACAATAGTAATTTTTAAATTTTGTAGTTGCGGGACAACTACCAAGGCTGTAACATACACATAATGAGAATACTGGTGGTTTCGGGGACCTGTTGAAGTTGGCCAGGTGTGTGCTATCTGATGATTTTACTGCCTGTGCCACATACGATTGTTTCCTCATGATGATGCCATTTTCACAAGTTGGGATTCTTCGTGTGAGCGACACATGAACCATTGGCATCTCACTTAGACTCTTCCTAATTCACACAAACTGAAACTCGAGTTGTATTTCCTGAGATTGGGAGAAAATGAAGAAAGAATTTCACATATCTGTTTTGGGCTCCTCCCCATTTTTCCAAACTGCACAGAAATTAGAAACAGGGAGCTCTTTTTATATTTCCTAACATAACACATATCACTTCTTTTAATACAGCATCATTCCTCCTTTTATGTAATAGACACACTGGCCAGTTCTGTCCTTTTAACGGGACTCTCTCTACTTAAGGAGTTGCTAATTTCAAATCACGTTTGGCATCTTTTTTGAGCATAATGTAATCCTGCTGGAATTCACCCCACACCTAAACCTTAATTGGGTATCAAGAGAAATACTACTACCAGCAATTCATCTTAGATGTTTGGACCATCAGTAAAAATTTCCACTTATGACAACATTTTAATGTTTCCTCCAAACTTTTTAATGTTTGGTTACCAGAGTCAAAACATAACATGAGGTCTAAACTCCTGACATTTTATGGGAAAATTACAGTATCACAAATTGAGTATACCAAACGCAGAAATCCAAAATCTGAAATGCTCCAAAATCCAACACTTCTGACCACTGATGTGGTGCTAAAAAGAAGTGCCCACTGAAGCATTTTGGATTTTAAATTTTTCAGATTTGGGATGCTAAACCATTACATCTACTGCAAATATTCCAAAATAAAAAGAAAGTTAGAAATACAAAACACTTGGTTTTAAGCTTTCTGCATAAGGAACACTTTATCTGCATGAACTATAGGCATGAAGCTGTACAGGAGACCTCTAGAACCTCCTCATCCTGCATAACTGAAACTGCACACCCACAGAACAATGCCCTACTCCCCCGACCCCAGCTCCTGGAAACTACTATTCTACTTTCTGACTCACTCTGGAATCCACTGTTATTTGGTACATAGAGTAGTCAAACTCATATAATCAGAGAGTAGAATGTCTAATGAGAGAAAGTGCCTGCAAGACTTCTTCCCAAATATTGGTCTAATAGTCACCAAACACATAGGGTCCATGAGGGTCAGACTTCCATAATCAGTTCATGTTCGCCCTTTCCATCAGTCAGTTCTGCATTTGCAGACATCCACATGTATTTCTAGAAAGATCCACATGGTCCTCACCTGCCTTCTACAGGGGGAAGGGAACATCATGGACCCAGAACAAGGAACATGGTCTTGATCCAAAGTTATCAGCCCTTGCCTGTCCCCTTCACTCTTTGTAGGTCATTCCTTGGACTCTGCTCTATCTTTAGAGGTCACTGGCTCAAGTCAGTCACTATGAGACAGCTGGGAAAACTGCCCAACCTTGTGGCTCCACTGCCTGATGACTGACCTCCAGGCTTGACTGTGGTCTCCCCAGTGTTATTTCTACTGAAGTACGCAGTCCCAGGCCAGGCTTCTCAGTACTCAAAGGGCTTAAGGACAATGGGAAGTTCCATCATCTATATCCAGGATGTCCTTGGAAAGGGAAGCTGCAGAGAAAACATACCTTGGGGGGCAAAGTAAGACTGAAACTAAGACGATTCCAGCACCACATGCTCCAGGTGAGGACCACAGGGTGGGCCAGGCAGGCAGTTGGAGAGGGAGGGACTCAGAGTCACCAGGGGCTGTGACTGCTGGTCCTGTGTCTTGCCATGACCCAATGCTGCTGCTCAATACACACTTGAGAAAGTCTGTGCTTCTCCACATAAAGCAGGTAGCCTCAAACCTCAGATTGCCATGCGTCTGTCTTGTAACACACACACACCTGCCATGGGCTTTTAAGGAGTAGGGTGCGCTGAGAGGTGGGAAATGCCATCTCCGATTTAAAAATGTCTTTGGAGGAATCAAAGGTGCCACACAGGGCAATCTTCTCTCTGTTATCTGCATAGTGGAGACTCCCAAGCCCTACATCTCCAGCAGCAACTTAAGCCCCAGGGAGGCCGTGGAGACTGTCATCTTATCCTGTGATCCTCACACTCGGGATGTAAGCTACCTGTGGTGGATAAGTGGTCAGAGCCTCCCTATCAGTCACAAGTTGAAGCTGTCCAAAAACAACAGGACCCTCATTATATCTGGTGTTACAAACGATACTGCAGGACCCTATGAATGTGAAATGAAGAACCCAGTGAGTTCCAGCCGCAGTGACCCAGTCACCCTGAATCTCCTCCGTGAGTATTTTCTGTTCCTCTCTGTGGCAGGCTGCCATCCCAAAAACACATGGCCAGAGGCCAGGCCTCTCGCTCCCTCTCAGGGCCAAGTACAGAGACCTTTACCCCTGGACATCAAAGCTGACCATGACTACTAAGAGTAGGCTTAGGCTTGATAAACAGTGGGAGAGAAGAGGCTGCTCCTGTCATGGGAGACTCAGGGTCCACAGCTTATGATGGGAGAAACAGGGGAATGTCTCAGGCTCCAGATCAGTGAACACAGCAGGGATTTGGCTGGGACTTCAGTGTTGTGACTTAGCTGAGAGGGTCACTGTGGCCCTTCCATAGAACAGGATTTTCCCTTCCCTCTGACAACATCAGCTGTGCCTTTATTCTCTTTGCTCCAGATGGCCTGGATGCCCCCACCTTTTCTTATTCATACACCTATTACCATACAGGGGAAGTCCCCAAGCTCTCCTGCCTCACAGACTCTCTGGCAGAGCATTCTTGGCTAATTGATGGGAAGTTCCAGCAATCAGCACAACTGTTCTTTATCCCCCAAATCACTAAAACATATACAGGGGTCTATGTCTGTTTCATCCATAACTCAGCCACTGGTGGAACCAAACTCATAATCAAGAGGATCATAGTCCCTGGTAAGTGGATCCCTGGAGCATTGGCAATATGTTTTCCAGTGAAGTCTATCTGGCTATTCTGGCTGTCAGAAAAGAGCCATCTTCCCTCTGCAAAGGGAGAGGGAAAATCAAAAACCCAGGACAGGGAATATGTTTCTGCTCCAAAACCATCGGCTCTTGCCTACTGCTTTGCTCTTTCTAGATCATTCTTTAGACTACATACTAACAATGAACAATGTGAAAGGAAATTAAGAAAAGAATTTCAATTTACATTAACATCAAAAGGAATAAAATATTTTGGAATAAGTTTAACCCAAAAGTCAAAGGGTTATACCCTGAAAACTCCAAAACATTACTGAAAGAAATTAAAGATGACATCAATATATGGAAAGACATTTCATTTTCATGGATTGGAAGAATCAATATTGTTAGGAAGAAAATACTATTCAAAGTGATCTGCACATTCAGCGCAACCCCTACCAGAATCTCAATAACATTTTTTGCAGAATTACAAAAATCTGTCCTAAATCTCACCTGACAGGCTCTTATTGATGACTGCCACAACAGAGACACTGAGAAAAAGATGCAACCATGAAAAGGTGGAAAGTTTTGATGACGTAGAAAATAGCAATCAGACTTTCTCACATCCCAAAGCCTTCAAAAATATACAAGTGCAGCATGGCCAGTATGGAATTGACCAAAAACTAATCACCAAGCTAGAAATGTGGTGTGAGGGAAAAAAAAAAAAAAGGGCAAGAATATATTTGGCTTATCACCTCCCACTTTTGCATACTAATCTGATGTTGAAAAGAAATGCTCACTAAAGCATTTTAGATTTTGAATCTTTCAGATTTGGGATGCTCAACTAGTAAGTATATGACAAATATTTCAGAATCAAAAAAATCACTTTTTGTCCTAAGTCTTATGCATAAGAAATACTCAATCTGTGTGAACTGTAGGCATCAAGCTGTACAGCAGATCTCTAGAACCTCCCCCATATACATACATGTACCATGTTGGTGTGCTGCACCCATTAACTTGTCATTTACATTAGGTATATCTCCTAATGCTATCCCTCTCCCTGCCCCTGTGCACAATAGGACCTGGTGTGTGATGATCCCCTTCCTGTGTACAAGTGTTCTCATTGTTCAATTCCCACCTATGAGTGAGAACATGTGGTATTTGGTTTTCTGTTCTTACGATGGATTTGCTGAGAATGATGGTTTCCAGCTGCATCCATGTCCCTACAAGGACACAAACTCATCCTTTTTAGCAAACATAGTATTCCATGGTGTATATGTGCCACATTTTCTTAATCCAGTCTGTCACTGATGGACATTTGGGTTAATTCCAAGTCTTTGCTCTTGTGAATAGTGCCGCAACAAACATATGTGTGCATGTGTGTTTACTCAGCAGCATGATTTATAATCCTTTGGGTATACACACCCAGTAATGGGATAGCTGGAGTCATATGGTAGCCTAGTTCTAGATCTTGAGGAATCACCATACTGTTTTCCATAATGGTTGAACCAGTTTACAATCCCACCAACAGTGTAAAAGTATTCCTGTTTCTCCACATCCTCTCCAGCACCTGTTGTTTCCTGACTTTTTAGTGATTGCCATTCTAACTGGTGTGAGATGGTATCTCCTTGTGGTTTTGATTTGCGTTTCTCTGATGGCCAGTGATGATGAGCATTTTTCGTGTGTTTGTTGGCTGTATGAGCGTCTTCTCTTCTTTTTGAGAAATGTCTGTTCATATCCCGCACTTACTTTTTGATGGGGTTGTTTGTTTTTTCTTGTAAATTTGTTTGAGTTCTTTGTAGGTTCTGGATATTAGCCCTTTGTCAGATGAGTAGATTGCAAAAATTTTCTCCCATTCTGTAGGTTGCCTGTTCACTCTGATGGTAGTTTCTTTTTGCTGTGCAGAAGCTCTTTAGTTTAATGAGATCCACATTTGTCAATTTGGCTTTTATTGCCTCTGCTTTGGTGTTTTGGACATGAGTCATGCCTGCCTGTAACTCCTAGGCAGTTTAGGACATTTGGGTTTGGTGTTGGGTCTGCTTTTTTTGGTCTTGATAAATGATTAATTTTTGTATGAGGTAAGAAAGGGTCCAGTTTCAGCTTTCCACTTCTAGCTGCTTATTTTCCTTTCCATTTATTAAGCCAAGTCCTTTCCCATTTCTTATTTTATCTCGGGTTTGTCAAGATCGAATTGGCTGTGATCATGTGGTATTATTTCTGAGAGTCTGTTTCTGTTTCATTAGTCTATATCTCTGTTTTGGTACCAGTATCATGCTGTTTGGTTACTGTGTATTGCTATAGTTTGAAGTCAGGTAGCGTGATGCTTCCAGCTTTGTTCTTTTGACTTAGGATTGTCTTGGCAATGTGGGTTCTTTTTTGGTTCCATATGAACTTTAAAGCAGGTTTTTCCAATTCTGTGAAGAAACTCATTGGTAGCTGGATGGGGATGGCATTGAATCTATAAATGACCTTGGGCAGTATGGCCATTTTCCACGATATTGATTCTTCCTATCCATGAGCATGGTATGTTCTTCCATTGTTTGTGTCCTCTTTTATTTCACTGAGCAGTGGTTTGTAGTTCTCCTTGAAGAGTCCTTTACATCCTTGTAAGTTGGATTCCTAGGCATTTTATTCTCTTTGAAACTGGTGTGTGAATGAGAGTTCATTCATGATTTGGCTCTCTATGTGTCTGTTACTGGTACATAAGAATGCTTGTGATTTTTGCACCTTGATTTTGTATCCTGAGGCTTTGCTGAATTTATCAACAAGGAGATTTTGCACTGAGACAACAGGGTTTTCTAAATATACAATCATGTCATCTGCAAGAGGAGACAGATTTGACTTCTTGTTTCCTAACTGGGAATACCCTTGATTTCTTTCTCTTGCCTAATGATTGCCTAGCCAGAACCCAACACTATGTTGAGTAGGAGTGGTGGAGAGAGGGCATCTGTCTTGTGCCAGTTTTCAGCGGGAATTTTCTAGTTTTTGCCCATTCAGTATGATATTGGCTGTGGGTTTGTCATAAATAGCTCTTATTACTTTGAGATTCGTTCACAATGCCAAATTTATTGAGCGTTTTTAGCATGAAGGGCTGTTGAATTTTGTCAAAGGCCTTTTCTGCATCTATTGAGATAGTCATGTGTTTTTTATCTTTGGTTCTGTTTATATCCTGGATTACGTTTATTGATTTGTGTATGTTGAACCAGCCTTGCATCCCAGGGATGAAGCCCTTGATCAAGGGTGGATAGAGCTCTTTGATGTGCTGCTGGATCCGGTTTGCCAGTATTTTATTGAGGATTTTTGCATCGATGTTCATCAGGGTTAAGGTCTAAAATTCTCTTTTTTTGTTGTGTCTCTGCCAGGATTTGGTATCAGGATGATGTTGGCCTCCTAAAATGAGTTAGGGGGATTCCTTCTTTTCTATTGATTGGAACAGTTTCAGAAGGAATGCTACCAGCTCCTCCTTGTACCTCGGGTAGAATTCAGCTGTGAATCCATCTGGTCCTGGACTTTTTATGGTTGGTAGGCTACTAATTATTGCCTCAATTTCAGAGCCTGCTATTGGTCTAATCAGGAATTCAGCTTCTTCCTGGTTTAGTCTTGGAAGAGTGTAAGTGTCCGGAAATTATCCATTTCTTCTATGTTTTCTAGTTTATTTGTGTAGAGTGTTTATGGTATTCTCTGATGGATTTGTATTTCTGTGGGGTCGTTGGTGATATCCCCTTTATCATTTTTTATTGTGTCTGTTTGATTCTTCTCTCTTTTCTTCTTTGTTAGTCACTTGCTAGTCTATCAATTTGTTGATCTTTTCAGAAAACCGACTCCTGAATTCATTGATTTTTGGAGGGTTTTTTGTGTCTCTATCTCCTTCAGTTCTGCTCTGATCTTAGTTATTTCTTGCCTTATGCTAGCTTTTGAATGTGTTTGCTCTTGCTTCTCTAGTTCTTTTAATTGTGATTTTAGAGTGTCAATGTTACTTTCCTGCTTTCTCTTGTGGGCATTTTAGTACTATAATTTCTCTCTACACTGCTTTAAATGTGTCCCAGAGATTCTGGTATGTTGTATCTTTGTTCTCATTGGTTTAAAGAACATCTTTATTTCTGCTTTCATTTCATTATGTACCCAGTAATCATTCAGGAGCAGGTTATTCCAGTTTCCATGTAGTTGAGCGGTTTTGATTGAGTTTCTTAGTCCTGAGTTCTAGTTTGATTGCACTGTAGTCTGAGAGACAGTTTGTTATAATTTCTGTTCTTGTACATTTGCTGAGGAGTGCTTTACTTCCAATTATGTGGTCAATTTTGAAATAAGTGTGATGTGGTGCTGAGTAGAATGTATATTCTGTTGATTTGGGGTGGGAGTTCTGTAGATGTCTATTACAAGTTCACGGTGCAGAGAGCTAAGTTCAATTCCTGGATATCCTTATTAACTTTCTGTCTCGTTGATCTGTCTAATGTTGACAGTGGAGTGTTGAAAGTCTCCCCATTATTATTGTATGGAAGTCTAAGTCTCTTTGTAAGTCTCTAAGGACTTGCTTTATGAATCTGGGTGCTCCTGTATTGGGTGCATATATATTTAGGATAGTTAGCTCTTCCTGTTGAGTTGATCCCTTAAACATTATGTAATGGCCTTCTTTGTCTCTTTTGACCTTTGATGATTTAAAGTCTGTTTTATCAGAGACTAGGATTGCAACCCTTGCTTTTTTTGTTCTCCATTTGCTTAGTAGATCTTCCTCCATCCCTTTATTTTGAGCCTATGTATGTCTCTGCCTGTGAGATGGGTCTCCTGGGCCAGCAAACTGATGGGTCTTGACTCTTTATCCAGTTTGCCAGTCTGTGTCTTTTAATTGGGTATTTAGTCACTTACATTTAAGGTTAATATTTTTAAGTGTGAACTTGGTCCTGCCATTGTGATATTAACTGGTTATTTTGCTCGTTAGTTGATGCAGTTTCTTCCTAGCATCGATGGTCTTTACATTTTGGCATGTTTTTGCAATGGCTGGTATCAGTTGTTCCTTTCCATGTTTAGTGCTTCCTTCAGGGTCTCTTGTAAGGCAGGCCTGGTGGTGACAAAATCTCTAAACATTTACTTATCTGTAAAGTTTTGTTCTCTCCTTCACTTTTGAAACTTAGTTTGGCTGGATATGGATTCTGGGTTTAAATTCTTTTCTTTAAGAATGTTAAATGTTGGCCCCCACTCTTCTGGCTTGTAGAGTTTCTGCTGAGATCTATTTTTAGTCTGATGAATGCTTCCTTTGTGGGTAACCCGACCTTTCTCTCCAGGCTGCCCATAAATTTTTTCTTCATTTCAAGTCGATCTAACAAGTATATCTCGAGTTACTCTTCTCGAAATATGCTGTAGCGTTCTCTGTATTTCCTGAATTTGAATATTACGCCTACCCTACTAGGTTGGGAAGTTCTCTGGATGATATCCTGAAGAGTATTTTCCAACTTCGTTCACATTTCCCCCTCACTTTTTCAGGCTCCCCAATCAGACGTAGATTTGGTCTTTCCCATAATCCCATACTTCTTTCGGAGCTTTGTTCATTTCTTTTCTTCTTTTTCTTTAGATTTCTCT